TAACAAATTTACAAAAATATAATAGCAATTATTCCACGTTTTTCCCTATGGTCCAGAGAATGACAAACGATGTATAGCTGCTGGAGTAATTAAATGCAGCGTATTTTTTTCAGAACAAAATTACGTACATTGTAAAGAGAAAAATTAAACCCATGATTTGCAACGAATAGAAAAATACGATCCTTTGCTTTTATTTCCATACTTTGCAAAAAAGAACAAAAGATTGGTTAAAAATGGAAAAAATAGAGGACCAAACTGTTTTGGAAAAAATAGCCAACATAACAGGTAAGCTGGCTTTAAAAGATTTAACATTTTGCCATGTCGCCATATGCGTGAGTGTAACTGTTACATGGAGAGACGGTTCTACACGAAACGTATTGTTCTGCGTTAACTTATGTCCGTTTCTTTTGCCCATTCAACCTGCATACGTATGAGAGCTCAAGGCGCCAGTGTATATTTTTGGCATGAGATTAAATATGAGCGTTTGATTGGACAGTTGGGGTGAATGTCTCTTAAAACAATAATGACATGTTGCTACTCTGGAATTCGGGTGGCAGGGAGTTTATATTAGATTACCCCTCCCCCTGCCCCCTTTGTTGTACCTTGTACCGTGTTCACATCTGCCACATTTTTTTTTTTTTTATTCCCCCAGGAGACGTAATGAAAAATGCAGCCTCTGTGAAGAAGGATAAAAAGAAAAAAAAGAAAAAGAGAAAAGGTGTTGCAACACAAGAGAAAAAGCAAAACACCGGAGCGATTAACAAAAAAGGAAAAAAAAAAACAGGCCTGCTTGATGATTATAAAATTCAGCCGAAGAAAGAAATATGTAAATTTTTTTTTAAAAAGGGAAAATGTATCCACAATGAAAATTGTACCTACTCACATGACGTCACACCGATATATAAAATTTCAAAGCTGTGCAAATTTCTGGTGAAAGGAACATGTCAAAAAGAAAATTGTATTTTCTCCCATGATTATAAACTCTTCTTTTGTCGCAATAATGTAATTTACAATTCGTGTTATAACCCACAGTGCAAATTCAAGCACATCAAAATAGACAGCTCAATTAATAACGCCGATCAGTACAATATAGAGGTGGATAACCTCCTTAGCAAGGATGACAAAATCAGATTTTTGTATAATAATAAATATTATTTAATGGAGCTGTTAATTAATAAGTACCATAAATTTGATAACTTCAAAGAGCAGCATATAGACGATTTGACAAAAAAAGAATCCTACCCCTGGTTCATCAATGGCATTATTGATTTAATTAAATTAGATTATAAATTCAGCAAGATAGATGGCTTTTTAGGTTTAGTAGATAAGTATAAAAATAAAGTTCCTACTGCGAATGGTTCAGCGTCTAGCAGTAATGAAAATGCTCAGAACCACGACCATAAGGGTGTTCCCGGAGAGTCCTCTATTATTGATGATTATACAAAAGTGGCAAGGGAGTATGTAGAGGGTAGCAATGAAGATGGGGAAAACGGTACACACTCGAACAGTAACAAGAACGACAACAACGTCAATGGTAACAGTGGTGAGGAAAATTTCAGTGACTATAAATTTTACGCAAGTGACGAGGAAGAGGATTACACCAAATACCTGAATAAATACTTCGAAATAGATGGGTAGCCCACGGGACACTTGCATCACTTTTACTTTTTTTCGCGCTCCTTCTTTATCCCACCACGGGGAAAGTAGCTTGCACAAGAGTTAGAAATATGTATATACATATATATATATATATATTTTTACTTTTTTTTTAAGTTACGTGTTTGTCATTAAGAACATGCGTGTTTTGTATGTTCACTTCGAATGCTTTTTGATGTGCGCATATATAGGCGTGCATATGTTTGTACATATATGTAACATAAAATGGCGAGACGAAAAAAAAAACAGTCCTGCCATTCATTAGATAAACTTTGTTTTTGTTTGTGTATAATTGTTTAAGAGTCTCTCCCCCTCGAATAAATTATTATACGTTAGCAATGTAAAAACCAACTTATGAAAATTAATTTTGTTCAAATTCAAGTTAATGAATGAAAAGACAAAAAAATTCTCCAACTGGTCCACGCTTAGCTTTCCGTATGTCCTCTTCAGTATACTTTTTAGGAACGCCATGTCGGATTTGTTTTGCACTTCAATTATTTTCAGCCGCAGTAGTGTTTTGTAAATGTTGCGAATTGCATGCTCGCCTGTAGGGGCACATTTGCAGTGGGCATCTTTACTACTTTGGTCTCTGTGGTCGCTCCGGTCATTTCCGCCGCTTGCTCCACTTACATCGCTACCGTGGATACCCACCCCATTAAATGTTTTCAGCTCGTACAGCAGCGCCGACATGAGTGCCGTGTAAACACCCTCATCGGTTAATGAAGCACTGCGCTTGTCAGTGGCGTCTGTCCTTATGACGGGCGTCACTTTGTGTGAGCCACTAACCCAATTGCAGTTGCGATGCTCAATCAGGAGCAGTGTGTTCATCAGCTTTATTACATTTTTCCCCTTACACACCATAAAGGACAAGAAATCAAAGCTCTTTATTTTTGCATAAAGAAAATCAAACACTAATGATTCGTAATTCAAGATGGTGTAGCTGTTTAAAATATTTATAGTAGTTATGCAAGAGAAGCCGTGGAACTTTTCCTTTACAATTTCGCTCAATAGTGAGAATATTTTTTTATCTCTAACTCTATGTTTTGCAAATGTGTAAATAATATTCTCCAAATGAGATGGAGTGACGTTATATATATTTAAGTAACTTTTTGTGCCGGCCTTTCCATAAGTGCTATTGGACACAATGTCTTTTTTGAGTTTTTCTAAGAGGACCATATTTTCCTCCTTTAAACAATAGTTATTGCATGCGCTTAAAATGTACGCTATGTTTTTGTTTGAAATATTTTTCATTTTATGGATCCGTTTGTACATTTCTGTGTAAAATGACAACACCTCTTTATCAGCCCATTTGCTATCGAACATGTTTGAGCAGTGAATAAATAATCTGATCACCCCATCATCATGTAGGTGTTTTATTAAATTTTTTAATAAATGGATAAACGCCGTAGCAAAGTTCACGTAGTCCAAGCTCCTATTCTTGTCCAACTCCTCATGCACTGTTTCGTCATTGGGGGAATTAATCTTGTTTGTCTCTATTATCTCACTCTGCACAGCATTTACACCCAGATGGGGATAATTGAGGGGAGAAATGCTTGATGTGGGCAAATTGCGCAGGTCTTCATTTATACAATGTGGGGAGAAGTCCATACTTTCTTCCCCCGCTGTAGGTGGCAATTTTTTTCTGATGGTTCCCTTCTTTGTGTGAAAAAAAAAACTCTCTGCATCGTCAACACCGGTTATTTCGTCTAATTTGTCGCCAAATATGTTTAAGCTGTTCACGAAGCTGTTATCATTTTGGGAATCGAATTTTTCTTGATCATTATCCTCATCATAGTTGCTGGTCATATATTCGTAGAACAGTTTATGATGGTCTACATTTGGAAAATAATTAGGCTCCTCCTTTTTGCGAATTTTCACTTTTCCCTTCTTAAGGGAGGAGGCCAAAATGTGTTCCAAATGTGAAGGAGTTTCCCTTTTTAATGTTTTAAAAAATTTGATTTGATTAAAAATCTTAACTAGTTGCAAAATTGCTAAAAAAAAATTTTGATCATACGTGTTTTTATGTTGTGTTACACGTTTGCCAGACGGAATATTTTGCAAGTACGTCTTAAATGCGTTTGTAAAATATTCGGCACAATTTATTTCACCGTGATGTGAAAAAAAATCATTTAAAATGACATTCAGCTGTATAAACATTTTTACAAAGTGTGCAAAAAAATCCTTGTTTACTAAAAATTTCTTTTTCTTTTTATATATCTTGAATTTGTTGTTCGCATAAATTAGCAACGAATCTATGTCGAACAAGTGAACATACTCATCGTAATGTTGGACGCTATTTATGTTGATGATTTTTTGTTTTTTTTTATTTTTTCCTGGTGCTTTTTTTATTTTATCAAGATAAACATTAAATAAGTTATACTTTTTTAAGCTCTCCGTGATTCGTTTTTCTGTCACGTCTGCGCACGCGTCCGTGTGCCTATACAGGTTTGTTTGCTGTTTTGTCTTTTCAGATACGCCTCGACTCACAGTGCTTACGGAGGCGTGCTTTATATTTTTTTCGTGTTCCGCGCATGACATTTCCTGTTCTTTTTCGTTTCTTCTTGATGCGCTTTGTTGGTGACGCGTAATGGAGTAGTTGCTCTTGCCATTTTTACGAAGACAATCGGTGAGGGGGTATTCCGCGGTAGTTCCTTTGCCTCTGCATAGACGGGCTATTACTAACTCTAGGTACGTCTTTCCACTTCTTTGTACACTTGCAATTCTCATAATATACACATGTGCGCGGAAGGGTGCAGATAAATACACATACGCAGTATACGTCTGATGTGATAATAATGTGCATATGTATTTTTGTTCTTCTTTTCCAATGTACAAGACGAACTGTTGTAGATGTTAAAATGGAAGCTCACCAAATGGGGTGCGAGAACTCCTACTGAAAAAACAAATGTCCTCGATTTTTTCTATTCCTTTCTGAATTCTACTTTATTATCATTCCACATTGACAGCTATATTATCCTGAATTTATTAAACTTGCAACTTTGGCATAATTCCAAAGTGCATTTTTTTTTTTGTTTTTTTTTTTCCTTGTGTTCCCCTCCTGGTATAATGCTTCTTTTTTGCAACGTTGTTCCCATTTCCTTTTTTGTGTGCCTCGCCCCCTTTGTCAGTTCACTGCTTTATTGGCTAACCTTTGTTGTATGACAGAATAAGGGGAAGAGGAGGGGAAGCACAACAGTCGTACATTAGAAAGGGAAATGCATAAAAAATATGAAGATAGGAAAAATACAAACAAGTAAAGAGAGGAAACAAAATAAAGCTAATTTTTTGAAAAATAAGTTGACGTACGTGGGCACAAAAACAACGAACACACACAAGCCCCGCAGCAGGATATTTCAAAAGGGTACCGAAATAATAGGTCATAATTGGCAATAAAAAAAAAAAAAAAAAAAAAAAAAAAGCCGAGTGAAAGATGCACAAATGGGGCAACTGTGGCAACCGTCGCAGTCGGTGTCATTTAAGAAAAAATTTTTTAAGAGAGAAAACAAAAGAAGGAAAAGAAAAAAAAAAATATATATATATTGCTACACAATGAAAGTAATCATTAACTAATCCACACTTATGTACAATTCTTTCATAGCGTAAGGCGAAAACGCTTTTGTTTGCATATGTATACATGTGTCATTTAGGGAGCATAAAAATGAAAAGTTAAACTATTATAATGATTAAGGTGAACAAGAAACGTATGCCAAGGAACAGGTATCCAGGAATGAATCAATTAAGGGGTAAACGCACTGACATTCAAAGTTTAACAACAAATAGGTGGACTCATTTTTTTTACATTACACAAATTTGTTTAGAGTTATGGTAATAGGAAATAAAATTCTGTATGAACTAAGGAATGTTTCTAGTCCCCCAAAGAAAATAGAAAACAATTACTGTGACAAATTAGATATACGCACTAACAAATGAGGACGAAAAAATCCGGTGGGAGTGGAAGAAAAAAAAAAGGGAAAGATGTAGAGAGCCAGTCAGACGAAAGCTTCATCGACAGTGTAGAGGAGGAGGAGCTGGCTGAAGCAGAAGGTGAAGAAGACGTGGTAGACGCGGAGGAGGAGGAAGAAGAAGAAGAAGAAGACGGTGAGGAGGGGGATGAGGAGGATGTGGAAGACGGCGAACAAGACGAACAGGACGAAGACGGTGAAGAAGACGAAGAAGAAGATGAAGATGAGGATGATGAAGAAGAGGACGAAGACTACGAACTGAAAAATTACGGCATAGCACTTGAAATGCCTAAGCGAAAGAACAGAGGAAAAAACCTGAAAAAGCTAATTGGGGAAGACTTGGAAAAAGATGAAAAATTCTGGAATGATAGCATTTGGGAGGAAGAAGAGGTAGACGAGGAGTACGTAAATTCGGAAGGGGAAGAAGAATACATAGATGTAACTGACTCCGATTTTGACGATGATGAAGATCAACTGGACGATGATGATGAAGAGGAAGCGGAGAGAAATGAAAGGGAACTAGATGATGAAGAGATAAAACGGAAGAAGAAAAAAATGTTTTCCTATTTAGAGAAATTAAAAAAACAAACGCATAATCGTGCATTAAGGCATAAACTAATGAAGAAGGCGAAGCATTACGGGACAAAAGTCCTTGGTGGGCAATATGGTACTCCCCTCCACGGTGTGGAACACAAATCTGGAAGGACAAAAAAAGGACAGGGTGAAGAAGAAGTGGCAGGCGGGCTAAAAGGTGAAGGGATGGTGAAGAAACAAAAAAAAGTTGATAGCTCCTGCATGGTCTTGAATAGATCTACTAGAGACACAACCAGACAAAAGACGGAGCAAATACAAAAACTCTCCGAATTGAGAAGAATTAAAAGGGAAAACCGTTTTAAAAAAAAGGACGAAAATAGAAAAAAACAAAAAAGTACACAAAGAGAAATGACAAGGGAGGAACGATTAGAAGAAGCAAAAATAACCGAGCAGTACAATTTGCAATCCCTCTTACAGTTACAAGCCTGGGAAGAAGAGAAAAAAAAATATATTGAACATAAGAGAATTATTTATCATAGACCGAAAAATGTTTTTATTAGTTATTCCTATTCGAAGGATAAAACATTTCCATCGAGCGAAAATTTGAAATATGAACTCGATTCGTATTATGTGCAAGATCCTGCACAAATGACCAATGCCACTCTGAGTGGAGGTCTCCTAAACTCCCCCAGTGATAACAAAATTATGGCACAAAATTGTGTGGACTACGACAATGGCGTTGTAGAAGGTGATAGAGATGTAGAAAAAGCTGATTCAGCATTCCAAGTAGGAGGCGCAATAGATAAGGAGGAAAATAACGCACCCAATGCGGAAGAAGTGCCTGATAATGCGAGCGATGAGAGCATAAAAAGAAAAGAAAGTGAAAATGATCAAGTGTCAAAAGAAAGCGAAGACGATGATAATGAGGATAGTAACACAAAAATGGAGAAATCGAAACCAATGCAGCCGATCCAGTTGCAGAATTTAGAAGACCTGGATAATCTGGATCAGTGTGAAGATTTACACATAGAATATTTAAACGAAAATGATGAAATAAATTTTGGAATTCACACAAAGGATAGCAGCAAAACGGTAGATGATAATATTACAATGGTAACAAAAAAGAGAAAAAAAATTAAAACGGACAGGGAGGAGAGACAAATATATATTGTCACCGACTCGAACGAGCTAAATGTATACAGCAATTATAATAATTGTAAGGAATATCTGGAAGAAGTGAAAAATAAAAATAATCTATGTGCAATCACCAATTTGGAGGGCAAGTATTTTGACCCCCTAACAAAAAAATATTATAATAATGCAGAAGCGTTTAAATTGCTACGATTTTATCATCACCAAAAAACGTATGACGATGTGAACCAACAGATATCCATGATGGTTCAACTTTTTACGAACAAGTTAACAGAAATAGAGGAAAATACAAAAAATGGAGTATTTGATAATGCTTAGGGGGGAAAGAGAAACACGCACATACGTCAGGTTGGTGCCTACTATTTGTTCAACCGTATCGTGTGATGTGTGTAGCTGTCGTATGCATGGAGTTTTTCCAACTGTTACCGCAAATCACTTGATGTAGGTGTCCTGCATCCACAAAAAAAAAAAAAAAAAGGACGCATGGTAGGGTAAATGTGTGGTAATATACGTCTCACCTTAGTTTTTGTGTTAATCGATTCGCTTTGGCAGTTTTATTATGCTACTTTATTTTGCTTTTACTATTTGCCGTTTTTCTTACCCTATTTCTTTTTGGTTTTTTTTTTTTTTTTTTTATACACTGATCAGTGAAAGGGGCTAGCCCCCGGCACATTGCCAATTACGCTGGTCCCACATTTGCGTCAAAATGATGTGTACACATATGTACATTCACAGCATGCATTTCCCCGTCCCCTCTGGTAGATTCCTCCTATGAGCTCTAATTAATTAATTTTGTGTTTTTTTTTTTTTTAGTATACTAAAATTTCTTGTCGTGCCAGACAATATATGGCAACGACAAGCGAAAACTTCAACAAAAGCTACGCACGTAAAAATAACAAAAATTGAAAAAAAAGCAAATTAAGTATTATGCCGAATAGGAGAACAAGATATAAGTTCACCCCCGTCGGGCTTCCCAATTTTAGATTCTATCCATTGTTATGTTGAGCACGTGGGAGTAAAAGGTGTTGGTGTGGCGCAATAATTAAAGTGAAAAAAAAAAAAAAAAAAAAAAAAGAAATTCCCGAAAATGTGTCATATGGGGAAAATATGCAATATGCATTTTTTTGTGACACGTTTTTTGTAAACATGGGTGTACGGAAAGAGGTGTCCGCTGGGTTAGCCATTTATCTGGTCTTACATTTGAAGAAAAACGCGCGCAACGCGTAATCAACACGTTACCATCCTGTAATCATTGTGTCACGCGGTGTGCCAGGAAAAAATTGGGGTCTCAAAAAATGGAGCGAATCTTGTCAGCCCATACAGAGAAGTGTATAAAACTAAAATATCGAACATGCTGCAGCGAAACTCTCAAAAAAATATGATAAGACAATGAAAATGGCGCCCTGCTCATTTTTGTAAAATGGTTAAGATCACGCAGTGGCGCACTAATCGTTGTTATTAGCAAAACTGATATATCGTTATTTCGTGTATAAAAAAAGGAATTATGTGTTACTTATTATATACCTTATCTTTCTCTGATTTTTTTTTTTTTTTTTTTGTTTTTTTTTTAAATTGACCATACAACTTTTCATTGTGCACCTGCTTGCCTACATCTTTTTCTGTCTGAAAGTGTGCGATGATCGGTTAAAAATAACAGGGCATATTTTTTACGCATAAATGTGTATCATATTTTTATTTGATGCGATTTGTTTGTTTGTCCCATTTGGCAACATTGTGTCGTAATGCTAAATGAGATTGTCACTTAATACTGTCATACATTGCAAATGGCTAAAATTACTTCTGCTGAGAAAAATTTGCGCTTGTGTCTGCGATTGCATTTGCCTCCCAAATATTTTTTACAGACTGCAATTGCTACCCAATGGGACTAATTAAGATTTAGAAATTCCCCTTCGAAAGAAAAAAAAAAAAAAAAATTGTAAAGCGATAAATAACGATATGTTAGCTATTGTGTACGCGTAATATTATAGCAGGTAATTCAAAAAAAGGTAGTCCAATTTTACCTTTTGTTTTTTTTTTTTTTTTTTTTTTTTTTTTTACACCCTCTTCACACCTTCCCCTTCTAGGGATAAACAAATTCGAATGTGTACAAAAGAAAGACAGTTAGAAAAAATAGAAACATGCATAATAGATAAAAAAAAAAAAAATTGAGCAAATTAGGAAAAAGTGTGTCATACTATATATACAAAATATTCATAAATGCAGCAAAATAGAGAAACGCCATTGCGTCATGTCGCAAAAGCAAATACCGAGAAGATGTTTCATTAGTGTGGCCACGTGGATTTAAAAAGACAGAATTGCTGTTGCCATTGATGCAACCACGCAATTATTTTGTAACATCATTGTACTGAATTATTTTAAGCTATAGTTTACCTTTTTAGCAAGTTTGTAGAAAAAAAAAAAAAAAAAAAAAAACATGAAAATTGTGACAATATTGCAAGGTAGACAATACATGGTAACTGAATTTACAATTACAAGACAAACTCATTTTTAAGGTTAGATCGGCGAAATAGACCATATGAAAAATAAATAGACAATACAGTGAGATAGAGCAGAATGTGTGAACGATAGCAGAGAATAACTTCCAAAGTGAAACTTCTACATTACAAATGTTAATGAATAAAATAGATGCTCATTTTTGCATAATGAGAAAAAAAAGCGCGCATTTAATCACCTTTCTCCTGTTTTCCCCCTTTTTGTGACAGGACCCAGAACATGTTAAGGCTCCACCTCCTAATTTTGTTATGTGTGAGTTAGAAACGAAAAAAAAGAAAAACAACAAAAAATGTTTATCGTAGACCCTTTGAACAAAACTCAATCATGTTCGGGCGTTTGCGCATGCGTGCCTGTGTATGCGCCTACGAACTTCCAGTCTTTTGTTCAAAGGGGAGGTTTCTCCCCTCTGCATGGAAAACATAAACGACATTTGCGCGTGGGCAGTCACAACACAAAGCGTTATTTGTGCTGACTCCACTTGAGCATATATAGAGAAACGTTCCTGTGTGCTACTCCCCTTCGGGGATACGTTCCTCGCACGACGTTACTTTCTACATGCTACATGTTTATTTCATCTGTTCGATTTTTCTCCCCCCGCTTTTGCCTTGCAGATTTCTGCCACGTATCCTCTATTCATTTTAAAAGAAGAAAACTTTGACCATATCTACTGCAAGGAAAATGAAAGTATAAGGCAAAGGGATACCCGCGATCGCGAATCGAGGAGCCGACAGTTGGGGGAACACAACAATGAATTTTTTGATATCGGGAAGCTAAAAAAGTTGTTATATTTTCAGTCCAATTTGGACCAATCGATACAGGAAAAACGGAGACAAGAAAAGAAGTTGAGAAAATTATACAATGCTGCAAAAGCGGGTAATTTTGCTGAAACGATTAGGAATTTCCAAAAAGATACTCAACAGAATGGAGCCCCTCCTGGCGAAAAAGAACATGATACGAAAGATAAAAACGACACAAATAATGCAGACGAAATAAATCAGGATGGGGCTGCCCAGGGAAAAGAAGACAACCCTGCACATATGAATCAACAAACGTATGCTGACGAACAAATGAAAAATGAGAAGGGAAGAAAAACGGGAGAAATACAAGAAACATCTCCCCTTCAGGCAACAGTAAACGGTCCAGCAGAAAAAATCATAAACAAACACGACCATGTAGATAACACGGGAAATAATGAGAAGGAACAGAAGGAGAGAAAAGTCAAACATGCTGATAATGCTCAACTGAGCAACGTCCTACAGAGCGTGGAATTTTTGAAAAAGGTGCAATCGTTGAAGAATTACTTCGGCTACAATGAATCACAAAGCACGTCTTCAGGCGTACCCCCTGGCGGGCACAACAATAATGCAGGTGAGGACAAGATAAAAAATGAAAATGACCAAGTTGTACACCTCAGTGGAGATACAAACTACGAAAATACCAACGTGGAGAAAAATCAAAAAACGGAATCTCCAATGTCTAAGGATAATGAAGAAAAAAAAAAAAATTATGCAGAGAAACCTGTTTATATGTTCCCTGAAAAGGATGCAGCAGAAAAATTCAAAACACATTTGAGAAGAAATAATATTAAAGAATTTTTTGAAGTAAATGACCTGGTAAAATATATCAAAAATTTACTAGGAATAAAATCAAACATCCATGAAAAATTCGAACATGAAAAGCTGATTGTAAAAAATTGTAACTATGAATCCTTTGGTCCTGAATTTTGCAGTGTTGATGAAGAAGCCAAGCAGATGTTATGGAATTATGAGAATAAAAAAAATTGTGCCTTTCTCTTTATCATATTGTTTACCCTATGTTTTAGCCTACTCATACAGAATATAGTCTACTACATAGAAAAGAGGGTCCGAAATTCCAAAGACCAATTCAGGAAGGACCTACTGAATACCGCCTTTAGACAGATTTCTCTAATTACCATAATTAACCTCACCATATGGGGGATTCTACAGTCAAACGTGGCGGAGGCGCTCGACGAAATCATTTTCAACGATGTAAGCGCAATGCTTAGGGAACATAGGAAATGCTCACATGTAGCTTATGCATACACATATGGCTGTATCTCCCCATCATGGTTCTTATCATGTGCGAAAATGTATAACCAAGGTGTGTATTTGGCCCGTAATACTTCATTTTTTTTTTTTGCCACCCGTTCTTTCTAGATTTTACCGCGACAAAGAAATGTCGACGAAGTTTTGCACAATGTGGAACCTCTGCTGGAGATCATATTTGAGAAGATACTTTTCATCTCGATGAATTTTCTCATATGGTAAATTATGATCAAATAGGGTGGAGGGGGACCCGCACGTGCGAGTGTTGTCCACACGTTGTCAACCCGTTCCGTTGTTGCGTCAGTTTTCCTTGGAGGACATATATAACTGTGCGAGAGTGCTTACATGGTTGTCATCCTTTCCATGCATTATTACTGCTTCAGTTCATGGAAAATGTTCCTTTTTATTTATTTTCTCCTCTCCCTTCGCAGCTACTCCCTATTTATAATTAACATACATTTTGTGACGAGGCGAATATTAAAATGGTTTTCCGAAGCGGACAACTGCGACATTTCGAACATAGCAAAGGAAATAAAAGAGGCCCGGAAGGGGTGTTTCAGGAATTTCGTCTTTTTCTTAAGATATGCAAGAAACTCTAAGTATTTAGCGCATCGGTAGGTTTTAGCTACGGCGCAACTAAGGCGCGGTTAGGACGAGGCCAATGCCCCCCCCCGTTCGTTATGCAATCTTTTTAACGTTCGCTCCATTTTGCCAACCTCCCCCTTGCAGATACGATTTTTCTGAAAACGTTGATGCAATAAGCATACCGGGACTAGACCCGAACGGATATTATTACTATGAGTACATGAGAGCTTGTTTATTGAAGTACAACGTCAAGTTAATAAAAATACCCAACGCCGTAATCCTATTTCTGGTGTTCGCGTGCATTTCTCTAAGGTACGGAATAGTTGTAATGGCAGAATCGGTCACAATGGGACAGTGACAAAGGGGTGTGTTAGGTGGAGATAGGTTGTCTTCCTGTATTTGTTTCCTTATCACTTTTACTTCCAACACATTTTGTTCCATTTTTATTCTACTTGTAACTCATTTACCTCCCCCTCTTCTGTAGGCCCTTTTTTAACATACGACTGAAGGCGGAGGTTATTTTTCTGAACTTCCTGTCCCTCCTTTGCATCGTGGGCTTACTCCTGATGTTATACTACGTAATAGAAAAGTGAACATCGCCCATCTGGCGCGCAAAATAATATGCACTTAAATGTACTTACGTACGTACATGTGTGTGTGTATATGTATATGCAGCGAATTAATACTGCTGCGAGTGCTTCCTCGCCTCGACGCCTATCCACACCGCGGAAAGCAACCCTAATTTCCCATTTTGCAGCTTTACAAAATAGACAGACAGTTACTGCCGAGGGACATTTCGAAGTATCTTCTAAACAGATACCACATCGAAACGTGTGAGCAGAGCAAAAAGGACATCACACCATACTACAAACTGTTGAAGCAGCAGGTAAAAAAAGAACAAAAAAGCGCACCACACTCCACCCCTTGACACACATATATATATATATATATAGGCGTACGTATATTTAATGATTCACATCTTATAGTAATATATTTTCCATTATGCGACTCTTCCCTTTTTTTTCTTTTTTTCAAATGTTCAGTCTGTGTACCCCTCAGCAATAAACTACTTTCTGTACAAAACTACGTTCCCCAACAAGCATGAGCAGCTGTTTTATTTTTGGGGAAACGGCCCCCGCCTAATTAACTTTATCTTTCAAGTAAGGACACCGAGAGGGTGCAAGTGCCATCTTGCATAGGAGAGATTCACAGATTGAGAAGTTTGAAATTAAGGAGAAGTGATGATATTATTTGCGAGTGAAAATATTGCGCGGTTAATTGTGCACGCGTGAGTAACCTTTCTATATGTGTGTGTCCTACCCATCTGGTGTGCACTTCCACTCTTCCATTATCGTCCCTTAGACCCTATGTTTCTCCTTCCTAATTATCCTGTCCTGTTGGATATTTTTGCTACGAGTTGATAACATCACGTGGTTCCAACTGTACAGTTATGGAAGCTTGGCCATATGCGTGTGCATCCTCCTCTTCTTGATTATTCTCAAGTATATCATTTATTACAATATTATGATTAGCAAAACGGGGTATTTAATTGATACCAAGCTGCTGGAGAAGGTAAGCTTGTTAAGAGGCGGCGGGCGCTCAGTAGACGCGAGTTGGACACAAGATGGAAACAAGACGGGCGCACACACAACATGACACAATTTTTTTCTTCCCCCCTTTCTGCTGCAGGTTTGGGAATTCGAAAGATCGGACAACATAAAGAGAATATCGGAATTTATTGACGCCATAAAAATAAAGGTGCCCTTCTCATACGCTGCGTGTTTATTGATATGATACAGCCGTTTGTAGATTTTTTTTTTTTTCATTTTTTTTTTTCTTAATTGATGCGTTTCTTGTTTTTACCCGTCTTATTTTGCTTCCTGTACTTACGAACGTTTATGTGCTTTATTTTTCTCCCTCCCCCCATTTGCAGTCCACGTTACATGCCCTGAAAGAGGGCGGCGAAATTTTCTGGAGGCAGCTCCTCATTAAATCAAACACAGTGCCGTCAAATATACAGGAGAAAATGTTTAGCATATGGGTCGGCTTGGATGAAGAAAACAGGGGAATCATAGACTCTGCGAAAATTCTTAAATTTTTAAAATCGCAAGGAATTAATCTTACTTCGGAGAGCGACATCAAGGTAACGCTACCATTTGGAATCGAGACAATATAATGACTAAAACTGGGAGCCTCGATTGGGGTGTCAAGATGATATAAAAATGGGTGTTCTTGCTGTGATCAGTATAATACAGCACAAGACAGCATAGCATGTTTTGTTGCATGTATTATTGCACAAATAGTTATACCGTTGGTGTTATCCTAACCCCATCCTCCTTCCTCCATGTGCTACAATTGGACATCACCATCCTCCTTTTTTTTTTTTTTTTTTTTTTTTTTCATTGTAACACAAGTGTAACGTAGCTTTCGCTACAGGGGTAGCCAGAGCTACGACAATGTATGCAGCACATTGATAGCGATTTTTTTTTTTTTTTTTTTTTTTTCATTCCTCCCCGTTGTAGGAATTCCTGGAGGTGTTCGACAGGAACAACAAAAATGGCCTAAACCAAGAAGAGTTTTTTGTCCTCATTATTATAGTCAAGCAAATATTGGTTGAACTCTTGGACATTAACGCCGTTCAGGTAAGCAGGAGCAAATTTGAGCACAAATTGGAAAAAAAGAAAAATTGTACATGGGCATAAAATATGTGCATCATTATTGGCAAGCATCATTACACTTGCACAATATTATCCCACACCCTTTGCTCACAAAAATGCACCCCCTCCCAATTAAACATTCGCTACTTGTTCCACATCAACACACAGTCCCTGTTTGAAGAAGTGTATGGAATCCCATGGAATTCACTATCGTCCATTGATGCGAACAGCTTAAAAAGAATCTTAACAGAGGTAGGAAAAAGAGGCGAGTTTTATCCTGTTTGAACAATAAACCTTTTAACATTGTTACACCTATCTGCATATTCCCCTTGTCCACTGACCTGTAATGATAACGTTTTCTCTACCCCTTTTTGTACTTTCCTTTATAGCTAAATTTGCAATGGCCACATGGAAAAATCCGCAATTTGATTGACTTTGTGTGCGAAAATAAGAAGACGAAATATGTCAGTGCAGAATATTTCATAAAGCAGCTGATCAACATCGAAGAAGTGACTTTGCAGCCCTTCCACGTAATGATACATATGTGTGCTCTGTGCAGTGTGTGCATATGACTCTACGACTGCACATGTTACTACTAATGTAAAAAATATTACCTGTATAGGTAAACGAAATAAAATAAATGACCCCATTTTGATGCAAATGCTTTGCCTTTTTTTTTTTTGTTCGCAGTCTTCCTCGGACACAAAGTAAAGATAAAGCTAAGGACGTAACAGTACACATCCCTTTTTTGCTTATCTTCCAATATACCTCTCTTTGATATAAAGCAGCAAAAAAAAATTGTTTGTATTATTTGTGGCGGAATTACAAAAGCCAGTCGATTCACAATGAAGTAATTGTATAACCTGTTTGGTTATATTGCAAGATTTCTTTTTCCCCTATCCTACATAACATAGGAAAAATGTGCACGTGAAAAATTCTGTAATTTTAGTTTTCATTTTTCAGTTTTTATTTTTAAGATTTTGATAGGTATTTATGTATACCCTTTTTTTTTTTTTTTTTTTTGCTGTAATGGGTCACGACTTTGTTCTATATATAATGCTTATTTTTTTATGCTTCGACTTAGATGTAATTAATCTTTTATTTTTGTGACGTATGCATTTCCGATGCGCGTTCCTTAACTTCTTCTGTTTCAAGTTTGTTACACTGTTTCCTCTGTTTGGCTAAACGATTTGATATTTTTATAATTTCCTTTGTGTACATCCTACACTTCCTTCGCTCCATTCGCACGAATGTGGAAAATTTAACTTCTCCTTTCAAACGCGTACGTTATATTTATGTTAACGCATAAAAAATAGCTCTTTAATTTTACGCACGTACAATTTGCGGATAAAGTGAAATGAAAAATGTGCCATGACCCCAGGAAGGTGATCACAGAGATGTGTGGCGAGAGTGTACACAGGGGCAACTCCCACGCACATATTTACATAACTACGCACATACGTACGTGTATACGTACTTTTCTACTTTTCCAAACCTGTGTCCATGCTTAATTACCTCCCTTTTGTCCCGCAGACAACTACACAGTAGGGGCCACAAATAAGCGAATACTTACAATGACGAAAAAAGGAATAAAAAAAAAATGGTTTTGTACGAATCTTACATTGCCCTAAATAAACACATAAAAAAGGACGACGTGAAGAATTTAATGAAAAACTTCCACTTTATTGTAAACAAATACAATGGCAATATAATCAGCATCAACGATTTGGGCTGGAGAAAATTTGCCTTCTGCATTAAGAAGCCCAAGGTAGGAACATTTCATTTTGGTAGATTTTACTGCATTACATTTTACTCGAACAGCAAAAGTATAAAAGACCTAAACGAATTTTTCCACAGCAACACTTTTATTTTAAGATTTTTAAACGTTAAAATGAAATACAGATCAAATTTTTTGGTTGCGCCATTTTCGTACATTAATGAGTAGGAGCGGCGAGACTGCTGCATGGGGAAGAGACAGAAATAGTGGAACGGCAAGAAAAAGTTAAGTGCAACGGTTCCCCTCGTTGCAACGTTATTTTTATGTGCCCTCTTCTTTGCACTTCTCTTTTGTTTTTTTCTCATTTTTCTCCAAAAATTTCTGCGCGTCTTTTCCCATTTTTTGTCTTTTTCTTAAAAATTGAACAAAAAAAAAAAATGTAGCAACGAAATGTGGCTACGGTGCACGTAAAATTTGGCAAAATGAAGGACGCAGAAATGCCCACAGGAGTAAAACTAAAAATGAAGAAAAGGAACAGACCGGACTTTGCAAATATGCAGTATTAAAAAAAAAAAAGGAGAACGTGAAAGTTTCCTTTTACAAATGGTATTATATCACCCGGAATGTGCGCATCTCTGGGCCTTTTCAAGGGTCCCCCCCTACAACTGAGTTAAAGCGTTGGGCTGTTCTGTGCTGCTCTTCTCTCGTGTGCTTTGCTGCACTGTTGCATATGGACACACACATTTCATCACAAATGGAACAGCATACCCTGTATAATTAACAAGAAACGCAAGCACGGACACGGTGCGAATTTCCTCATTACTCGTGAAAAAGAGGCTCATCAGACGAATTATAGCATTGCAGTGTAAGATTATGATTCGCGGAAGGGGGGAACATTTTGTCCAAATGTGTGTTTTGTAGATGACCACTTGGCCATGTGCACGTTTTTTTTTTTTTTGCTTCCCCTTTTGACGTATCTACTTCATATCAACCCTTTTGGCGGCCTCACTTCGCTCATAATCTTCGCTGTTTAACTTTTTCTTCTTCGATTTTTTGCTACTTTTTTTTTTTTTTAAGATTTCGTAAATATCAATACACATGTCCAACGTTTCTCCGATCTGTCTAGTTGTGTTTTCATCGTCAAAGGTGTTCCTCAAATCGAGGTGGTCCTTATACCTTACATGGAGTTCATCAATTTTGTTCTTCAATTTTTGAAAAAGAATTTGATTATTGTTGGTAATAAATTCTAGAATAAACTTATCAGCATTAACTATGTTGAAATTAATTTTTATATTATTTACAAAGCAGTACAAGGCTATTTGTGAAGGTGTATAAGTAAAGGTAATGAAAAAATTTTCGATAATTTTTAAGCAATCTTGTATTGTGTTCACGTAAATTTCATTGCACATATTTTCAAATGAACTCTGTATTTCGTTATCTTTGTTTATATATTTATTTATATAATTTAGGAATTTACTTTTTAAGTAAAAGATACATTCCTTTGTGTACAAAAAATTAATTTCAAAATCTAGAGATGAACAAACGACATTTTCATGTTCAAGTACTTTGTCCAAATTAATATCAATGTCGTTAAAAAAATCGTTCATTTTGTATAAGCGTCCATATCCTTCCAACTTTATTGCTAAGATTATGCACGTGAAAATTAAAATACGTGGGTCATATTCCAATATAATTTCTTTTAAGTAAAATCTGTTGTACAGCACAATTGCACATTCCACTATTTGTGGCTTGAGTCTTTTTATTTCGCAAAAGTGCGTCAGTTGGTAACAGAAGTAAAGCTTCGTTTTTTCAATTTCTGCATATTTCGGAATGCTCACATTGTGATCTTTAAATTTCTCCTTAAAGTCGTTGTACTTTTTTAGGCATATTTCGTCTACCTGTTGTTTGCTTTTGAAGATCCATTTGGTCATGTGCGAAGTGTCCTCTGGGTAATTCATATTTTGTTATTTTACTTCCATTTGTGCGTGGGGTGTAATGGGGGTTGGAAGCCCTACAGGGGCTTATCAACGAGCAATGGACCCAGACAGGTTGGCAATGGAGCTGCCACACAACACAGCAGTGGCAACAGCGACGGTTAACCAAGAACCGGTCAAGGAAAAGTGACCAACGGAAAAAAATACTAGTTCAATGGAGCAGCACCCAACGGTACAAAATTTGTCAATTTAACTTGCAAAATGGGATGGGTCCTACATACGCGCGCATGTTTGCGCCAATTTGTACCGTCGGCATTCGCCCACACTTTTGCTTTAATTTTACATATGCCCCGGATGCACAGACGAACAGGGATTACATGGCATTGGAGATATGTTTTAAATAATTTAACCGAAGCAGTTCTTTCAATGCGCTTACCTCTTGTTTTTTTGTACATGCGTCCCACGTTCCATGGCTTCTTACGTTACACGTTTTCTTTCTTTTTCTTTTTTTTTTTCATTGTACAACGTTATCTTCACATTTTGCTAATTATCGCCATTCATTTTTACCTATTCATTTTCTCCTTTTTGGTTCACACTTCAACCAATGTTGCGCACAGTTCAAGTAACATGCTAGCAGTGAGGGAGAAAAAAAAAACAAAAAAAAAAAAAAAAAAAAAGAGGCTGTGCACGTTCCTACATATAGTCACAGAAGCGTGCAAAATTGCAAATTCGTAATTTCAAAGGTGGCAGTTTTTTGCCAAAATATGTGTCGAACTATTTAAGGTTACACAATGTATTTATTTTATTTTTTTTTTTTTTCTAACACGGCATTACATACATGTACTTAACGAAACATCGCATGCTCTGTTTCCATTCTGTGGGCTTTTTCCTCTCAATCTGTGCAAACAGTTATGTAGCCGATTTTCTGAAGAAGCGTATTTAATTTTGTGGGAAATAATCCCCGTTGTACGGGCGCATGCGTTAAGTACACTGGCACAGATATGTGCAGGAGTGTGGACACCTTTGCAACTTCAAGAGATCTGCCTCCAGCAACCATCACCACACCACCCCCTTTGGTATTTCTAACGATCAGTAAAAAGAACGCGTAAAATTAAAGAAACCCTGGACACCGCGTAGCTGCAAAAAAGATAACATATACTACTTTGATAGCCCCCCTTCACGCCAAAATGATTGTAAAAAAAAACAGGAAAACGTTAACGCACTATACATGGCTCGCCCTATTAATAGTCCCAAGCTTATACTTTAAGAATTTACTTTTTGATGTAATGCCAAATGAATGAGTACACATGTGAGCGTATGCCGTTTCATGTGGGGTGCTTGCTGGAGAGCATTAAAAAACGAACATAAAAGCTCCTTTTCATGCTGCTTTATGCGCCTTCTTAACGGCGATGTTCTAATGGCTGTTCCCTCGCACCTCCCCATGTTTTCTATTTGACCAGTAACACATTTCCTGTTTGTTTTCTTCCCTTCCTCTTCAGAATCATTTTAGCCTAACATTTGACAAATTCAAAAAAAAAATATACAGCATAAGTCCGGTTAACCACATGTCTTTACCAAACAGCGATGCCGATTTTATGAGTGATTATATTATTCCTGACAATGTTGGCTAATGCAAAATGGAAAGTGTCAGAAGAATTTGTTGAAGCACCATTTTTTTTATCACAAATGTGGATGACATCCCTGGCCAAATATCCAAACCAGTCAACAAAAACGAAATGAAACGCATGTTGGGGAGTGTTTCACAACGCGTGCAATGGGAGCAAAATTCTGTCTACATGGAAAAGCAGCCTCCATAAGAGCTGAGAATGATAAGGCCAAAAACATGGAGCAGCAGTCATTTGCACACATATTTTGGTGCATTTTCCACGTTCCTTTTTTTCCCCCCTTTGTTGGAAAGTTACTAAAAGTTGTGCACCTGCTGAAGTTGATTCCACATTTTTCTGCCCCTCTTGATCGTTTATCCAAAGCTTCCGTTGTAAAATTTTTCAGTTTGTTAATTTTACTTTTTTGAAACATACTGTTTTACAATTATGAATCGAATTTGTATCATTTCGTGAATTACCAAAAAATTTTTTTCGTTCATATTATATACAAACATGAATATAACACACATTGCAGCTTCCTCGAAGCGAAACGTACACTTATGCCCATAAACAAAGGTGCATGTCTCATTTCGATGAATGCACGAGTCGGTTGCTTACACAATGTTAAAAAATAAAAAATTGATCATGTTGCAATTACAAAAGGCAGTAAAAAATGAATAAGCAAAAAACAAAAACAAAAAAAAAAAATGGAGGAAAAATTACGATGTTAATTTAGCAATCATACAAATGTAACATATACTACACATATTCTATTTATTTTTACAAGCTTAATTCTCAGAGGTGATTTTTTAATATTTTCAGTAGGGCCATTTTACTTGCTTTAATTTTTCGTATGATAAATTGCGGAATCAAAGGGGACGTATCAAGTTCGATCTGGGGAAAAGGGTTGTGGTCATACGGGGGATAAAATTACGTGAGAAAGAAAAAACCAACTCGACGATTATAATGGCCTTACATTTTTGTCTACGCGGGCACACACTACGGTATGTACATGCGTTCGTGTTGTGTAAAATGGAGACGCGCATTTTGTTTTCCAAAAAGAGCGAACGGTGTATTACTCTCTTTACGCAACTTACCGAAGAAATGTAGGTAAAATTCAGGCAGCCGCTTTCCCTCCTTATATAATACCCAGACACATTAATAAACATTTTTCGTAACGAGGAGTTTTTAATTTTTTCATCACATTCGATGTCCAGTGAAAAGGAGTTGGCACTATTGATAAAAGGATTTGTGAACGTGCTTTGATTTTTTTTATGATCGTTAACGTTTATCGAAGCGCACGCAATTAGGTAGGTATCCTTGTTTACCTGCGGGTGTAGGGGTTGGTGCAGTGTAGGTTCCAGAGACATGTATGTGGGAGGGGGGCACACTTCAGGGTACACATTTAGGTATACACTTTTGGCGCCAATTTTCCAGTGCATACATGTTTCGATGCGTTGACGCACCGCTGCTCATGCGCATCGACAAGGGTGGAAAAAAATGCACGCAGAAAAAACTCTTTTCGTTACTTTTTTTTTGTGCGCAAGAATGTAAAAGTATCTGCCCTCGTTTCCTAGTGTGCCCTTATAGCTCTGTTGCAGTAGGATTAGGTCTTCATTATACACGCGCAGAATTTTGCCTAGTTTGGTGCGAATTATAAAAAAGTGAGGATGGATGAAGTTCAAATTTGCGCAAGTGAAAAAAAAAAAAAGAAATACATAAGGTTATGTAAAAAGAATAAAAAGTTGCACAGCGCGAATTGGCATTTCAATGTGCAGATTTGTTTCCTCCTAACCTTCTATAAAATGTGAATCAAATTTTTTGGTTCCATTTTCGTCCCATATTATGTCTATTAACTTTTCGAGCTGCATGGGTAAAAGTTTCAGTTATTCCTTTGTTATTCAAATCTGCGTGGAGCATTTTGTCGTGGCGCGTGCTGACGGCACGTTTCGTGACACTCAAAACATTTTATTTACGATGTGTTCGGTGCATATAGTCTTTGCAAATTTGCTTGCTCCATACTTTGGTGGCGTCGTGGAAGACAAGGGTCAGTTTTCCTACGTCTACATTGTTAACTTTTTTAAAATACAAGTGAGATTCCTTGTCCAGGGAACTATATTTGCTGTAGCCGTCATTACTTACGGCAAAACTGTACAATACTTTATCCGCCTCCTCAATAATTTCATTTACTTTTTTAATTTCTTCTTGGTTGTTACAAAACAAATGTTTCACATTATTAATCCTTTCGTTAAAGCCTCCTTCATTAGTTGCTCCGTCGCTGTTCATTTTAAATTATCATCAGCTTTCGCATTTGATTGTGTGTAGACGTGCCACGCTCCCCTCACGCTATCGCGCATGTGTATGTGTATAAATAGTGGTACGCAAACGTGTGTACAGGTGTACATACATGTCTGAATGATTGCACATGTGAACATATGGAGACATAAGCGCAGGATCGTGCGACATGTGTGTGATCTGCACACGGAACAAACTGTTACAAAAAAAAAAAACAACTAAAACATGGTCTCTCAAGTGTCATTAAAATGTGGATATGCAAAAAACAAAAAACAAAAAATTATCGAAATGGGCATATGCAAAGAAAAAAAAAAAAAAAAAAAAGAGGGACAAATAAATATGAATAAAAAAAACGCTCAAACAAAAAATTTAGTAGAAATAAAACAAATTTTAAATAACAAAAAATACAATGCAGCGGCCAAGATTTAATCTAAGGGTTGCCAAAACAGTTCCAACATTTATCACAATCATCCCCCTGTTGACAAATGCGCTTTTAAGTGAAACATGCGCACATAACGCTCAGCACAAATGAATGAAAAGGAGTGTTGCACATGAGGGTATGTAATTTGTGAAATTTTCTTCTTCCTTTGAATATATATATTTTTTATTTTTTTGCAAAAATACGCTGTTGAATTTTTCCTCTTTAAATTACATAACTATGGTTATACCTTCAGCACATGGAAATTATTATAGGGCACTCTTTTTTTTTTTGTTTTTTTTTTTACCTGCACATTTAGTGGTGAATGATTATATACTCTACACTTTATGTACATTCTTGTATAAACGGGTTTACTATTTGTAGGACGCAAAACGGAAAAAAAAGCTATTACAGTGATTGTACCATATGCACGCAAAAGGAGAAATTGAATAAACATAATAAAACGGTGTATCACCAGCGAGATGAAGATCACATAGCAGTAATTTTCATTTTGTACATTTGTTTAAAATAATTGGGGGATATATTTTTTCCACATTTAGGAAAGAAATGCTTAGTAAAAAAAGACCTCCTAAAAATTGCCTTGAATGGCTCACCTTTTTTCTTTTTTTTTTCTTCTTAATTTAAGTGTGCGCAGCGCGAACATGGAGGAAACACATAGGTACTGGTGCGCAAAAGTATGTGTGCTGTGTGCTTATAGCTCCTTGCGCCATTGGGGCGAAGGACAAGGGTTTATAAAGCGAAAATATCAAAAATAAGAAGCCTGGCGGCACATGCTGGCCTAACACGGCTAGAATCATACGCGGGATTTAAAATATTTTGTCTTACGTGTTTTTTCCTTGTGTGCGATGTAGAGTGGCTTCAATTACTCGCCACGGGGTTTAGCTCAGGGGGTAGCTAAATAAACAAGCCAAAAAAGCGAAAGCGAATATGTGTGCATATCTATTGACATATACGTACATATGCATACGGTGGGCTGAATTATAATGAAGACATGTTTGGACATTTGATGTATATTACTTTTTCATCGTGGGACGCATTGTGACAAAAAAAAAAAAGAAAAAATGAAAAAAAAAAAACGGGGATCCCCGCTTTGGAAATAAATACTCATGAAAGGCACTGCTAAGAAGAGACTTTGCACCTGAAGTGAGCCAAATGGTATAACCCTGTTTGCAAAGTAAAAGCTTTACGAAAAATGCAGCGCAAAATGGGGGAAAACCCCACACACCCAAAAAAAAAAGAAAAAAAAAAAAAAGATGGGATCACTTTTTATTTATAATCCTTTCAATATTCGGAGTAGCTACAAGTTTATTGTCGCAATTTCCGAGAAAAATAAATTCCGAGTTTTCTTTTATGTAGCAAGCGATTTCTTGCGAAAAAGTGCACTCCGATCCTTCATCCACATCAAACAATATATCGTTAATTTTCATTTTAATTTTTTTATTTTTGTAAATAATTAGCTTTGCAAATTTACCATTGGGTAGTGTGCTTATATTGCTGAGTTCGTACGCGCTGTTGCTCGTTTTCTGTATGTTTTTTTTTCCCTTTTTTATTTGTGTTTGTTCCTTTTCTTCCGTCTTGCAACCCGTCTGTTGCCGTCCTCGCTCCTTTGTTACGTTGTCTTTATTTTCATTTTGTTCCTCGTTTCGAAGAAGAGCAGGTAGCATGTTAGGCAGCTGGATGTAGAAAAAGAATCGTTCCTTATTGAGGAACAGTTTTCGAATTTTTTTTTGCTTCTCATTATTTGTAAAAAATGGCAAAGTTAGTGGCAAAAAGTGAGCATCAGAGGAGGTAGTCTTCTTATTGTAAAAGATGTTTTTACTTATGTTGTTTAATTCGTAAATATCTATGGACGTTTTTTTCTTTTGAGGAGATTCCATAACATCTTCATCATTCTTTGCTTGTAAGTATTCCAAGTTTAGTACATTTAAATTGTTACTGATTATATTTTTTTCTACTCCATGGGGAGGAAAATCTTTATTAATGTTGTTTCCATTAAAATGGTTATCATTTTTTTTTTTCTCATTTTGTAACTCAAAGTTGATTGTTTTTTTTATTAACTCTTGAATGCTTTTGTCATTTAAGCTATCATCTAATTTGTCGGCCTGTTCCGATTTTATTTTATTTTCATTTTTTAAATTGTCAATATTTGGGACAAATTTTTTTAAGGCACTGTTTTGATTACTGCTCCCCCCATTTTTAAGTAAATTCGATTTATTACGCAGTGTGTTATTGATACTTCTCCTCAGGCTGTATTCATCTTGGTTGTGTCTATTATTCATTATTCGTTACTTCGTGAATTGGAAATAAATAGAGGGACACAGGGGCCGGTGTTGTTTGTGTGTAGAAATATATGTGAACTTTTCCGCTGCTTTTTTGCCCTAGGAGATTTTATTTGCACAGGTAGGTACACAGTTTTATCGTTTTGCACGTAGCTTCCAGATGCGGAGGTATTATGTGTATGCGTCCTCCTGCATATGTTACGAGTTACGTACTCACTTGTCTCCCTATTGCGCGTAATACGTATGAGATGAGAATGCGCTTATCGGTTTGCGTTCATCGGGTCAGGACATATATGCCAATGACCTCTTACTGTGCAACTGTGGTTCTGAATCTGAGTTTAATATGAATTTAACTCCACAGGACTGCATGTTTTTTTTTTCCGAGACGCCCCTCTCTCGTTAAACTTCGTTTATAGTAAATTAAGATCTATCCTTTTGCAAAGTTAAAGGAAAATGGTACTGGATTTTTTTCACAACAGGGGAAAAAAAAAATTGGCTACGATTCATTCATCTCGGCTGTTTTTATATACATCATTTCTTATGTAACACGGTATTTTTCATCACTTCATTCTTCCCACATTATTTCCCTTGTTTGCATCCTCTTCTTCTACTTTTGAGATTAAAAATTAGAGAAGATGGAATGGACGAAGCGGCGAATGTCCACGGGGCGTTACGCTGAATTCGTGCAAAAACGCAAGCGCATAAGAAGAAAAATGCCTTCATTTATGCCCTTTTTTTTTTTTTGCACAACTTTTTTTGCTAACTGGTTCATTTTGACTCGTAGCTTTGCTCGAATTTGAAGTATCCTTAAAATGGGATAATATGCACCGACATATTTTGTTCAAATATTGTGTTCGCGTTTAAGATGGTTAGAGAATAAAAAACGGAATGGACAAAATTAAAGAGCGGTAGAAAAAAAAAAAAAAGGCAACATACTACTATAAAGAAAATATTATGTATTTTTTTATTTACATACATTTACTCGCGTGTTGTGCCAAGGAGCATTTAAAAAAAACACTGTAATGTATAAACGCGCTGTTGCGTGGGGGTGAGTTTTACAAAGCGTAACAATGGTGACGTGAAAGTTTGGGAAAAAGCAGCCGCACGAGTTTTGGATACAAAATGTGAAGCCCCACGTTTATTTTATACAGGATGTAGTTTGCACTATGTGTCGTGTACATATTTCTGTGCATGGTTGTAAACGCTCTTGTAAAGACAAAAAAGAGTTGGGGAAATAAGAAAAAATAAAATATAGGAAAGACTAGCCTGGTAGGCTTGCCCCTTTTTTTCCCTTCCTTAGGGGAGGTGTGATCCATTGGCCACAGGAGCCTCTACTGGATAGCAGCTTGGATCATGTGTGCATCCAAGTCTGTATCCCCAACAGGGCCACTCCTTATGGGTCACTCGTTCTGCGTGACCTTATTGTTGTGGATGAAGACATTTTCCAGGATGACCCTTTTTGACAACTCCTGGGACTCTGCCGGTGGATGGATATAAATGTTAGAATAAAAATTACACGGCTGCGCATTACTAAGATCGATGGAGTATGGGCAGATAAAAAGCTTCTTATGTATCTCCTTAACGTAGGACTTTTCTTTTGTGTAGGAAGGGAAGAGGAACATATCTGGCAGCCTGTTCGGATGGAACAGTAAATTCTTAAACTTGGTAATTTCAATGTTAAATTCGGAGGGATAGGATGGGAAGAAAGAAAGTTGCCTTAATATCTGCTCCAATAAATAAAATGTTTTCATTTCACTTGGTCTGCACAATAAATTTCTAGTCAAGTTATAAATGACATCGCATGATGTTAAGGCAATCTTTAATTCGTTTATATAAATATAAGATGGGTTTGATAAAAAGTGCACATTCGCTAAATTGGCATAACTATTTTCGTAAAAAAATGGAGGCTGTGGAAGAGGGTACACATTGGTTGAATCATAAATCGATGGGATAATAAAGAAATGGGTTTTTTCTAGCACCTCACTTTTTGCCAAGTTGATAATTTTTTTAAAAATACTTTCATAAATCACGTTGATATCTCCTATTTTTTGAATTGTCTCACTGAAATTACGAATGTATAGGAAGGGCCCGAAAATTAAAACCACATGTGGTAATTTTTCGTTTACGATTTTTAAAAAAATATCCAAATTATCACTGTATTCATTGTCTGCATACACATACCCATTGCAAACCATTATGTGTATATTATCATTATTGTAAAATTGCAGGACTTTACTCTGGTCCCTTCTTTCTTCATTACATTTGTTATCCTCTTCAATTTCGTTACCATTAAAATGTTTTAACAAAAATGCAGTGTTCTCCAATTTTATATTTAAATGTGTAGGCAATCCAGCGTAAATATTGTTCACGTAATATTTGATACTGTACTGGTTTATTTCTTTCTTTCCCTTGATGGCTAAAATTTGTCCCAAAAAGCAACATATATTTTTTATATTATGTAGATTTAGCAGTTGCGCCTTGTCTCCGTTATTCAAATGTAAACTCCCCTCCAAAATGATGTTCGATTCACTTATGTTAATTTCATTGTCTGTATAAATGCGTCCGAAAATGTAACACTCCTCTTCATTCATATTTAATATTGGACTCACCTCAATATTTAAGTTGAGTTCTTTGGAGTACATCAAAAAAAGCTCCAAAAATAAGGATAATTTTTTGTTTATATTTTCAGATATGACACTTGTGTCTATTCCTAAAAATTTGTAATTCTCATCGATGGTGTTAACGGACTTGACGTAGCAATGATATTTATTGTTGCAATTTATTCCTGCTTTTTCTGACAGCTCGCTGTTGTACTGCTTTACGTACTCATAGTCGTATATTATGTTTTCCTTTAAGAAGTTTTCATCTTTGAACAATTTTTTGTTGTATTCTTCCAAATAATCTTCAAATAATTTGTGAAAATTTCCTTTGTGTTTATTTCTCTCCACATAATCGAAGGCATCCTTCAGATCGTCACTCAAGCTGTTATCCGTGTAGTACGTCTCCAGGAAGAGTTTCACGTCTGCTTGTTTTATCTCCTTCATCGTTTGGGTTCTATTTTTTGTGTGCGTCAAAATGGCGGGCACGAAAACGTGGAGCAAAATGCTACGCCCGTACGGTCACCACGGTGTGTTGGGTTGATCGGGGGTTTAACACGTGTGTGTGTGTTGGTACCTATCCACGTCTACGTCAAATAGCACAATTTCGAACGCACTCACAAATTGAGAACAAATAGCTATTTGCCAAAGGCGAACGGCTAAAAATGTTCCAAAAGGTTAATAATCTCCCTCCCCCATAGGCATGTAATCGTGTTTCCCTTTTCATTCCTTCGCAGGGGGCACCTGTGCTGTACTTTCATCCATAAAGGTTCCTCACATGGGTGAGGGTTTCACTCGTGATTACGTATGTGCATATGTTTAACTGTATGTGCGTTTGGCAGATGCGGACTCGCGATGTATATGTTATATAAATATGTATATTATTTTCTTTCTTTTTTTTTTTTTTTT